GGCTATACTACAGACTAGTGGAAGTGTCATAGAAGAGGTATGTATGAAAAAAAGATCAAGTACTAGAAATCTCCTCAGACATAGGCAGTGTTGAGACACCCAGCCACAGGTCTCAATGATGGCAGTTACTTTGCAAACATCAAAACCTCGATGAAAAAAATAGTGGTGATAGGAAGGGGGGGGGGGAAGTCATCGTTTGGAAGGGCGAGCGAAGTATAAATGATAAAAATCAAACTAATGAGTCAACTAGTACAGATATTCCAAACTGGATCAACATTCTCACACAGTCATAAATAACTTTCGCCATATACGTAATATCCTTTAGAACTCGGTGCAGCTTTCAACGCCACCGTGGAGGCTATGAGCGCGGCCTCCGTTTAGCTCAGCTCCCGAACACACACACACCAAAGCACACAAAGACGCACATACGCAAACATGCACACATGCGCACACACACACAAGCCACAAAGTCCCAGTCTCCCCGACACACTTCAGTCCCTTGCAGCAACACAAGAACCGTACCAAACTACCAAACTCTTCATCAGTCTCACTCGTCTCACTCTCATCTCCATAACATCAACAATATCGTTTGAACTTAAAACCTGGAATCCAGCAAAATCATGTTATGTCCGAAATTGAGGGGGAAAAACATTTCAGCTGTACCGTCTTATGCTCATACTGCCCCATCTCAATAACATTTGCATACTCGGCAAATATAGGTGTTGAGATATCAGTATCAAACTGAGATGGAGATAAAGTAGACGTTTTCACTTAAAGAGAACTATTTTAAAAAATCAATTTTACTCAGGATTCACTTTTATACGGTTTTTCATTCAAACGTGGGAACAAGAGGTGTGTACTGAGCAAACTACAGGTCTTTTATCTCTCACAGCAAACGTGCGGCCTGTTCTAGTGCTGCTAACTTACATCAACTGACATCAACAAGAATACAATATGATGAGGGGGTGGGGGAGAATATCCCTAAAATGGTGTGCATTCACTCACAAACTTCTTCAAGCATCAAGTGCCAGGTCTGAAAGAGACATTGGTGATCATGGTTTGCCACCCATTTCTCAGCTCGGGAGCTCTCTAGAACCCTACAACATCTTGGTCTGACCCTCAATCCATCTGTATAGTAGTACATCTATCATTAGATGTAGTCCCACATCCCAGGTATTAGAACTTTTCAACTGGTTTCGTCTTCTCACGTTTGCTTATCAGATTACAAATAAGATTTACTTTTCAAAGATATTATCATGCATTATATTTTCTGTACAATTGAAAATAACCCCATTTGTACACCTTTAGTTTATGAGTCAAAACAATAACTAGAATGAAATGAAAGGGTTTTTTACCCTGTTGAATCCGCACATGAAACAGTGCCATCAGCGTATCTCTCATTCTCTTTCAGACCTGGACTTTCTTCTACTCTTCTAAGAACCAACAAACTCGGTTATGGCAAAACCCTTGAGTACATAACTTCCAACCAAAACAAACAAATCAGTGTAATAAACAATCAACTTTTTGAGCTAGGCATGTTTAGGTACTTGCAACGACGGACCCAAACTGCACACGCTGCGGGCTGCCGTGGCGGCCCAGTACAGCTCAATACACTCCACAAAATGTCAAAACCTCCTGTAAAATTCAAGTCCAAGCCACGTTCGTACGGTGGGCCGGGACAGCGGGAAGACCCACGAATCCCGTCATCAGTCACTCCCACCGAGCAGTGCGAGCGGGGCGCTCACCCCTACATCCAGTAGCTGCCCTGGTAGCTGGAGTGGTGTCCCTGCCCGCCGCCTCGGCTGCCGTTGTACGAGGAGCCGCCGTTGTCGCGGTGGTCGTAGCGAGACGGGAACTGGCTCCCCGAGCCGCCGCTGTACGGCTGTCTGTCGTAGGAGTAGTAGTCGCGCTCCTCCCCGTAACCGCTGGCAGGCAGCTGGTGGTGGTGGTGGTGCGGGCTGGAGTTGTTGCGCTGGTTGTACTCCTGGTCACGACGCCTCGCATTGTCCTCGTAGCTCACACCCTTGTAATTGTCCCGGTTGTTGCGGTTGTTGTTGTTGCTGATGCTGCCGCTGCGGTCTACGTCGGCCAAGTAGCTCGACCGGCCTGCCACAATGCTGTTACTGTAGCGCTCACAGTTATTGCTGTTGGTGGCCGGGTCGTAACCCCTTCCAGTGCGATTACGGTTGGTCACGGGGTAGGTTCCTTGGAAGAAGGCCTGGGGGTGGTGGCTGTTGTGGTAGGTGGACAGGGCAGGGCGGGACAAGGGTTGCTGCTGCTGCTGCGGGTGTAGGTGGTGGTGGGAGGAGGAGGAGGAGGTGGAGGCCGCGGGGGCCTTCTGTGTTGTGGTGTGCTGGCTGTGCTGGGCCTCGCACCGTCACCGGCTGAGGCTGTGCGAGCGGCAGCGGTCTGAGGCGGAGTCTGAGCGTGGCTCCTCCTCGTGGCGGTAGGGCTCGCGCTGGTAAGGCAGGAAGAAAGGGTGTTTCATGGCCTGGCGCAGCGTGTAGCGCTGGGACGGCTCGTACGTCAGCAGCTTGGCAATCAGCTCAAACAGTTGGCTGTGGTCGTTGTCATCAGGATCTTTTAAGTAGCGCTGGAGAGCAAGGGGCAGAGGTCAGATGTATGATCTTTGCACAGACAAGTTGTCATCTTTAAAACTCATAAATCTTATAGCACGCATATGAATAAATCATAATAAATATTCGAAGTGCACTTTCTAGCATTATCTTTTGAGATAATTAACAAAAGTTTGTAATATATGCTAGAAGTCTGATGAAAGGGTTTGGGACGTTTGCTTAAATTACAATAAAAGCACAACCTAATACAGAGGGGTAGTCACCAATAAAGTACACAAAGTAGGCAGTCAAAATACACTCTGCACACTTCAAAATTATTCTCAATTACAAAACCAAAACTAAGACTGCAAACAAAGATATGAAAACGGCACTTGCATTTTGCATTAAAATATAATTAGTCCCATATTCTTTATCGGGAAATCATCTGTGGGGTATAAGACAAGTGGACAAGTAGAGAGAGGTGCTCCACTCAACACACAACAATCAGTCAACTGTCAATGTTCATGCAAAACTGAAGCACACAGATAAATGCCTACCACTAGATATGGCGAGGGCATGCCATAGACATGTATACATACATACAAACACGGCTACATGAGACAGGCGAGACAGCTTTCACTCTAACACAGTCCGATTTCCACCTTCACTTCACGGAACCTCAAGATAGAGGCAAAAAGCATAAATTTCCCAAATGAGCAAAATCTTTATTTACAAGTGGTTCTCGTCAGTCAGTGTGGATTTGTTCCCCTCTTTTTTTTTATGTAGGTGTTTCAACACCCCCCCTCAACACAATTTAGATCATTTAGGAGGAGGCCTGCTTCCAAAAAATGAAAAGCTCAACTGCCAAGTAGCACTGGTGACCGTTTATTAAAGTGGTGAGGTTATCACGAGGCCTAACCTTTAAATATCCCCTCTGCGATATACTGTCATCTATTTAGGAGGAATCACATTGAACTCTGGGCTTGAATATCCTCAGAGTTTATGTTGAAGGTTAACGATCTACCAAGCATCATTTGGGTCACTTTGAGAGCATATCCACTTGACCTGCCGTTTCAATAGCAAGCAGGGACAAAACATGAGAAGAAAGAAGAGTCACCGTGACTTGAATCTCAAGCACACGAGAAGCAGGTCCAGCTAAAAAATTGGTTACATGGGGGGTTGGACCATATGTTGTCAACACTTTGTCCTGTAGTATGCCTTCCTTCAGCTACACCCTGATAGCCACTTTCTCTCTTTACAGAGTAAATAAATCAACATGATACTAACGCAATCATCATCATTGACCTTCTCACCCTAGATCAGGGTAACGGCCACCGACAAAACATGCGTCATTTTTCCTCCTCTTGGTCTAACACAGAAAGTTTTTTGTTGCTTTTTTTTCTGGACCGAGTAACAAATTAGACTGGGTCAGAGCCAAAGCTGCCTGTCATTGTTTACCGAAACACAAAGCTACCTACAAGAACAGAGAGAGAGAGGAGAGAGAAAAGTGGGAGGAGAGAGAGAGAGAGGAGTCAGTAAGACAACAAACAAGGGCAGATAACGTGAGCCAGAGTGGTGACCTGCCGGACGACCATCAGCACAGCACAGCCGGCTCACCGCTAGCAAGAGAGAAGAGAGAGAGAGAGAGAGAGAGAGAGAGAGAGAGAGAGAGAGAGAGAGACAGAGACAGAGAAAGAGAGAGAGAGAGACAGCACCGCAAGCTAAGGCAGGCGCAGGCGCAGGCGCAGGCAGGCACAGGCACCTCAGACAGGCAGGGCCGAGCATCAAACACTTACCTTCACAGAGGACTGGGGCTGCCCCGAGAGATGTCGTTGAGTACACGAGGGACAAAACACTTAACAGCCACCAACAGTTTCTACTTCCTCTGTCTGCGCTACTGTTGCGACAAACCACCCTGGCCTACAACACCCCCCCCCCCCTACAGATCTACCTCATAGGTGGCATTGTTTAGCCATCATGAAAACACACCATACCCCGCCCTCCCTTACATCACAGCAGGTTCTGCTGTTTATTCCACTAATCAAAGTTTCTTAACACTTCAAGAAGGCCGAAAAAATGTGAGAAGCCAACTCCGACAAAATGTAGCACTTTGTACAACTCAAAGACTTGCAGGGAAGGGGGGATGAGAGGAGGGGAGAACTTTTCATCACAACTTAGTTCAACTCAATGTAGTTAGTGACAGACAGGAGTCTTACGATACCAAAATAAACCATTACAGCCATGCACAACAAATGAAGAGACAACCACTGTACGGCAGTCTACCACTACTGGCTTACAACAAGGGTCTCCGGGAAGAAACGATTACAATACCACTGAAGGGGGTAAACCTTAACAGTCCTCGTCATTCAGAAACAGAAAGAAAAAGAAAACTTGTGGGGAAAAAAAGTAAAAATGACAACAAGTGACGAGCATATAATATTAAACAGAAGTCTTTAGTATTATGCCATCATCTCCGTTCGGAAAAAAACAAAAACAATTCGAAGTAAAGATTTTTAAAAAACAAAGACAGGGCAGTCCCAGTCACACCTTTTCATTTAGCAACTGGCATGTTCACTTTCATTCACTCTAGAAGCTGAATTCACAAGCAGACATTTCTTTCACAAAGAAGCCAGGCAGCCGACAAGTGTATCACAAGCTTGACAAATTATCACAATATAGATTATCTTTCCACAGCACAGTCGGAGGCGAGTGGCTGACAGATGAGCTTGCAGCACATCACAAAACCCATCACAATTGCCTATAGGAAGTTTTTTTTTACTTTGTAAACCTGTATGTGTGTAAACAAACAAGCAAATGCAAACAGTGCCACGCACAGCAGGAAGACAAGAGGAGGAGGAGGAGGGTGGGAAGAGAATGGACTTGAAAAAGATTCCATGAACCCAAGTTTCACGTTTTTCGTTGGCGCAGTTTCTCCATTCCAACACATTATATCTTTTCGCTCTCCTCAAACAGATTTTCTAAAAGACAACGTGGACAGCTTTCATATTTGGCAGCCTTTGTCTTGCCTTCCTTCAGCAGTCAAGTACAAGACACTGATGTCTTGTTCATATTATTAATGTCTGTTAATAAATAAGATACAAAAACTAGATGCACACCAATTCTGTATAGTTCAAGTAGAGCTCCAAGGCGATTAGCTGGCTCACATTTTCATGAGATAAATCTGTGACTGTATTATGTACAAGGGCAATGATACAGGTGGTTGATGAGGACAGTAAAACTGGCGACTTTTCCATGCTTGGATGAGATGACGAGTGGGGTGATTCCTCTAGCTTGCACGATGATAGCCCAACAAGGCGGACAACTAAAGAGCGACACACTAGCAAGAGGCCTGTCTACGGGCGGGGGTACAATCATCTATCGTTGTCCAAGCTGTCCGAGGCCATGACAAACACGTCCGAGCCCACAGAGTCCACGCTGAACTTGCGGGCCTCGTCCGCTGCCGCCACCACCTGGCGATGGGCCGGCAGCACGTTCTCACTGGCACTCACATTGTTTAGCTGCGTGCTGGACTTTTTTTTTTCCTCCCCCGCCGCCTTGTTGACCTTGGCAGTGGGGGCCACTGCTGCTGCGGCTGCCTCGGCGCCCCCCTCTCCCGTGGCCAGGGGAACGTTCTCATTCTGTACTTCTGCACCTCCCTCTCCATCCACCTTCTTCTTTCTGTCCATCCGCCGGCGTCTTCTCGCCCGAGCCTTCTCCAACTTGGGCAGCACAACCTCGTTGCCCGACTCGACGCCCTGCACTTCCGTCCACACCTGACCGCCCGGCTGACCTTGAGCAGGGCTAGGCGCACCCGCGGGTGGGGCAGCCTGTACCTGGGCCGGTCCTGGGCCGGCCGGCTTGACCACCGGGGCCACTAGCACAGGGCCGGGGGCTGGCTGGGCCAACTTGGGCTGCGCAGCGGCCGGGGAAGCCTGTGGCTGCTGCACCACCACGGCCCCCTTGCCTGGAGTGTTCTGTGCCGCTGCTGGCTGTGGCTTGGCCTGAGAGGGTTTGGCGGGAAACACTCGTCGTGGGGCAGGCCCCCGCGGCAATGGCAGAGTGACCACAGGACTCTCCAGAACCACAAAATTGCCCAACACGCTCGGAACAGGACCTGCCGGGTTGTTAGCAGGGGGCGTGGCAACCGCAGGCTGGGGTTGGAGGGTTACCGTGGCAGCTGTTGCAGGGGTCGGGTTCTGAGACGCAGAGGATACTGGAGTGGTCGCGTTCTGGATTGGCCCACTGCTGGTCATGACTAAGGAGGTGAAACTCACAGGGGGAGGGAAAATTTTACTGACAGCCACCCCCGACATTACCTCCTCACTGGACACAACGGCCTGGCTCAGGGAAACACTGGCCTCCTGGGGCACGGGCGTGACGGAGGCCGTGACTGTGGTGTTGGGCTCAAACACGTCAGCCGACTCGTCAAGGTCAATGCTAAGGTCAGCCACGGAGTCCAGGGACCAGGTGCTGGTGATGGAGGTGCTGTCCGAGAACTGGTTGGCATCGATGGCTTTGTCCTGAGTGGGGATGGGAGGGTAGAAGTTGTCCGGCGTCTGAGTGCTCTTCTCCAGGAAGATGCGGGTCACACGCTCCACGGTCTGCGTCTCCATGGAGGTCCGGGACTTGTTCAGGGGAGGGAACTTCATGTTGGACAAAGTCAGGCCCTTATTCTCCTGCTCGGCTTTCTCCTTGTTCCTCTTGGCCTCCCGCTCCTTCTCCGCCTCGGCAATCTCGTGAGGCGGCCTGCGCTGGTAGGTAGTTTTGGGCACAAACTCGCTGGCTGATGGGTTCAGCGCCGAGGCGGCCACTTCCCCAACCTTCTTGGAGGTCGTGTCGAAAACTTCGTCATCGAAAGAGCTGTCAGAAGGTTTGGCGGCTTGCCCCAGTGGCGGTGTCTTGTCCCTGAGCTGTTTCTCCCTGCGCCTCCTACGAGCAGCAGTGACCGGAGCCTCGCCCTTGGACTCGGTTCGCTGTCGCGGTATGGGCCTGTCCAACACACTTTTAGGCGTCTCCTCTGGCTCAAAGTCGCCCGAGGTGGATTGGCCCAACTGACCGTAGTCCAGAGTCTTGGCTTGTTTCATGGCCTCCAGACGCGCTGCGCGGCGACGCTGGACTATACTGGACGGTTTGTCGCTTCCCCCGGTGGACGAGGACGAGTCCTCTGCGGTGTCCACCTTACCCGCAGCAGTCAGCGCGTCCGACTTGGGAGCTTCCTTCCGGTCCCCGACCTTGGGCTGTATCGCGTCCAGCGCCTGGCTGAGCGCCTCGAACCCGCTGGGGTCGGTGGGGTCCTCCATGGTGTGGTGGCGACCCAGCTTGTTGAACCTGCGGCGCTTGGAGTCAAGGCCAGCAAGGCCAGCAGAGGCGCCATCTTCCTCCTCCTCCTGCTGGCTGCGCCCCCCGGCTGCCGCCGCAGCCCCTCCCTTGGCCCCAGACTCCCCGAGCCCCCCTTCCCCCGCCTTGCCCCCGCTGCTGGTGTTAGTAGAGAGAGAGGAGGAGGCTACAGAGTCAGGCAGACCAGGCTCATGCCTGTTAGTAGTGGTGGTGGTGGTGGTGGTACTGCTAGAAGAGCTAGAGTTAGTGCTGGCTTCTGCATTCTCACTGGGATCATCTTTGGGGGAACTCATCAAGGTTTGCTCCCGCTCTTTGTGTCGGATCGACTCAAAGAACGGGTGTCGGAGGGCTTCTTTCAGAGTGGTGCGCTGCTCTGGAACATACTCCAGCATATGCTCTATTATTTCTAAAATTTGGATATGTTCATTGCCTTTGTCTCGCAAATAGTGCTGGGGATAGAGATTGGTCATACTTCAAATTAATCGGAACAACCAAAAGGAGGAAGACTCCAACACACAGTTCAATTGAAACTTTTTTCAGCAAAAAACTTAATCAAGTCCCAGCCACCTTTGCTCGGCTTTGATCAAACTATTGAATCGTTCAGTTTCACGACCCCAAGAGCTTTTGTTCTTTTCATCAAACACAGTCTTAGGAAGAAATCCTTCAAAGAAAACCACAAGAAAAAGGAAAATACATACCATTGACAAAAAGACTACATAAAAACTTATCCAATGAATGAATGGAGTAAAGTACAAGTTTTAACTTTATCTCTTCACATTTCACTTCACAGAAAAATTTTCAGATATGAGCTTGCAAAAAAATCTAACAGAACAAATCTACATGCATTAAACAAAAAATTATTTTAAAATACCAGACAAAAACAACCAGAAATGTACAATTTACAGGGAAAAAAAGCCTATACAGTTGAACTGCCAATATAGTCAAGATTCAATGAGCAATCACAAGACCATCAATAATGTATTTATAGAGGCATCAGCTATCCATGTCCAGGTACTGTTTTAGCCGAGCAATCACAAGAAATATAACAACTGTTTATAGGGGGAGGAATGTTAGAAGACACAAAGAGGGATCAAACAGGGGAGACTGTCCTACCGAGCAAATCATGCCTTCTCAAGCAATTGAAACAAACTCTGCCCAAAGCAAAAACATAGACACCTAAGTTACACATCATATTCTTCTTCTTCTGTGCACCCTTGCTAGAGCTCAGGGGGGGGGGGGACTGATGGTAGGATCTCCATCTCACAGTACAGCTGATTGTCAATGCACACGTCCGCTTTATCAACATATACACGATTAAAAGTACAAATGAGAGAATGCTTTTGTCACGGACTTTGCAAATTTCCAGCTGAGTCAGAAGCCAACTTCTTCACAGAACAAGAGACAGTCTTCTCTCCCCATGACATGAGACATAAATTTTAGATCCTCTGCAAGACTAACAATCATGCTACGATGGTACGAGTGTGGCTCCTAGCTTCTGTTCACAAGACATTCTCATCTATCAAGGTCCTGCACTGTGCATTTGTTTGACAGTAACTTTCTCTTTATTTTTTAATCACTTTGGGGGGAAAAAAGGCTATGTGAGTATGGGCTGTTCTCATGGAACTCAAAAAATCCTGTTGGGCATGTCACATGCAACCCCAAACTGCAATCCCAATAAGCTCCCCCACCCCACCCCAACCAAATCAAAACTCAATAGGAACAAACACACACACACTCTGGCCACACTGTGTCAATCTTGTGCCTGTAGTGGCGACACACCCACAGCTTTTCTTCCAGCATGCACATTCAACGGCAAGTTAGGCACCACAGCCTCGTGCGTTTACCTGTACCCGTATCATGTATCCCCAGCAGAAGTGGCACCCACACCTAGGGTGGGTGGGGGGGTGGGTGGTTTTGGTGGCCGGCCAACTGTGCCACCTGCCTGCTGCAACATCATCTCTTCTTCCCACAAACATTTACTACCACGTGGTAAGCTACACAAACCCTAAGTAAGACACAGACGGACAGACAGACAGGACACACACGGGACGGGCACTCACCTGGAAGGCTTCTCCAGCCACTTGGTACACAGCAGGCTAAAGTCAAGTACAGGCTTGCCAACTTTTTCAAAACCCAATCACGAACAACCAACGTTATGACATCTCATTACATGACAATCAACAAAATTCCATCAAGTAGGACTGGTTTATGTATGTGATAAGGCTCCCCAATTCACAATTACCGCATCCGGGACGGTCCTGGGAAAAACTCAGGACAGTCCCTGGAACTCGGGTCAGTTGGCAAGCCTGCAAGCAAAAACAAACCCAGGTGATGGGGGAGAGAGGTGTCAGGTCAGCACAAGGCACACACAGCGCCTCCAACACGGGCTACTAGACACACTTGATGTTAGGCTTTTCTACCTGACCGTCCAGCCACGACCAGAGAGGCTCAAAGCCAGGTATTCTTACACAGAACCGCCGAGGACAGCACAACTGTCTCCCACTGCACAAAGAGCAATGATTGTCTTCACAATGATTGTCTTCACACTGATTTTCTCCACACTAGCTTACAATGTACTCAGTAGATCACAGTGTGCTGGAAAGTAGTCTAAACAGCTTTTCTGCTTCCATCCAAATACTCACTAGTGTTGACAGTTAAGACTAAGAGACACTTTCAAGCCAGCAAATGAGCTCCACTTTCAAGACTTTAAAAAAAAAAAGAAACAGATCTAATGTGTGCTGGCAGCGTGGAAACAGCTGCCAGGCACTCAATACTACCTTACCCGTAACTGTCTGCACGTTTCCCTCACATATCTGCCTGCCGAGGTTTTCTCATCCCAATCCAACCGACCACGATAAAAGTACTTCTGCTTCCTTCTCACACACAAAACCATCAGCGTGCAGCCGGCCACCCAAAGTGAACGAGGGCCAAGACACATACACAACGGTAGTTGTGGTAGAAAAGCATGTGTGTGGTTGGTGGGGTGGTAGTAGCGGTGGCACAGAGTCAAAAACCACACATCGGGGCAGCACACAGGCACACACCGGCCATGGTTTGAAACCAAGTGTCAGGGGTGAACGGGGAGAGGGGAGGGGACACCAACAGGGAGGAAGAAAACAAGAAAAACAAAACGAAACTGAGCAAAACAAATTGTCACAAATTCCATGCAATGTTACAGAATCTCACAGGGATACAGAGCAATAAGCCGTTTGCACCCACAAGACACTGGCCAAAATACAACAGCTTCAGACATGTCCACCATTTCCTTTAACAAATTATACGATTTCATAATTCGACAAAAATTTGACATGACGAGTAAATAAAACTTCAGTCTGGATACTCTGTCGGGGACTTGGGGGGAGGGGGGGTTGGACAGTTCTCTCTACCAGGACATCCTGTGAGTGCAGCGGCCAAACTCTTGTATACAGAACTGCACCTAGATGCACGAGTACATGAGTACAGAGAGGGAGAGAGGCTCCTCTCAGCTGCAATCAACAATGCTGGTTACTCAACTAAGGCATGCATCACACCATAACTCTGTGCACAGGCCTGGCTCTACCTTGGTGTGGGGGAGAGAAGCCCTGTGAGGACTATGGAAAGTAACATTGGGCTAGTCGACTGCAATAACAAGAGTACAACACGTGTCTAATCATTTATGCTTTCCATCAAACTGAAGATGTTTTCGCGTGTTCTAGGGTCTGCTGAGGTAATAACCTAGATTGTAAAGAGTACACAGTTTGCTGTTGAGCAGGGATAAGCATTATAACAATATCATTTCCTGTTTGTGATCCAAGACCAGCCTCTTTGGCACTGAAACCGTTTCTAAACTATGAAAAAATTACTTCATCTCGATTCAAATTTCAATTTTTACCAAACGCTTGAAAAAACTCATGGATATTTTCTTACAAAGATTTTTTTTAATGCACATCATAAATTCATTTTGGGGTATCGTGAAAAGAACACGTTCTTTTTAAAATGATAGAAAAAAGACTTCGTTCTAAGAAACCACATTCTATGACCTTTAGAGTGCTTTCCCAAGCTTCCAACAAAATAATTTTGAGTACCACCAGTCCTCCGCACAGAGTTTTGACGTCAAAAACACACCAAGTGACGACACTCCCCGAGGCCATGGTTACGACCCCGGGTGGAATCGTCACAAGCGTGTGCTACAAACCACAAAGTCCCTGAGCATGCATACTTGATCAGGGCACACTACGTCACAAAAAGTACAAGACTAAACGCAAACGTATGAAGAGACAACCAAGCGTTAATGAACCAGGCGTGGTGTAACCAGAAACACTAGCACAGCCCGCAAGGGGCTGCAGGAGGCTACTGTAGGAAACAACAACGCAACAACAACAGCAGCAACAGCAACGGAACAAAAGCTCAAAAAGAAACCGTACGGTCAACAAAAATCGAAACACAGCCAACACAAATGCAACACGTGTTGTTATGCAGGGTCACACTCACTACACAGGCAAACCGACAAATACCCCACAAATTTCTACGACAGAGAGATAGAGAGAGAGAGAGAGAGAGAGAGAGAGAGAGAGAGAGAGAGAGAGAGAGAGAGAGAGAGAGAGAAAGAGAGAGAGAGACAGAGGGAGGGATAAAGAGAGAGAGGGGGGAGAGAGAGAGAGAGAGAGAAAGTGTCAGAGTCAGTGAGGGGGGAGAAAAAGGAGGGGTGCTGGAGGCACCAATTGTTCATGCAGTAGGCCGAAGTACACAACAATACACGTGCATGTCAGTGAGCGAGCGGGGAGCACACACACACACACACAGGCGTACGCGCTGCTTGCCAGCACATGGGCACACCCTGGCCTACTCACATAGAGGGGTTTGCAGTTCTCGCGGACGTAGCGACCCGCGGAGGTGGTTGGGTCCCAGTCCAGGCGGCCGTGCCAAAAATAGTTTGTTCTACACACACGCACACACATACATACACAGACACACACAGAGAAAAAGAGAATGACAAATTTACACACACACACGCACGCAGGTACACATACACATGGGGGTGGGCAAAGAAGAATGTATATCAGAATTCATGGAAGAAAAATACAGATTAACAAAGATAGTCACGACAAACAACTTAATTAAAATATGTGGAGAACATTGCACATAATATAATAATGTCGTAGAGGCAAATTCACATTATGTAATTATATAATATGTGGAAAACATTTCAAGAGTCAATGTAGTTCCCAAGAAATCAGAACACGCCAAGGTGGCAAGTATATCTTTGTTCCGGACTCTAATAACTTCTTTTCTTTTACAAGTAGGGTATTTTACATCAATCGACACAATTATTTAGGTGGGCTTCATCCCTGTCTGTCAATGCCAACCTGAGATGAGAAGGATAATGTTCCAACAGCAAAAGACCAACAAACTTGTGTCTCCTACGTGCAATGGAGAAGTGCCTTACCCCTACACTGAAGAAAATGCTATTTTCCTGTCTCTTGATGACCAGGCTCTCTTTTGGTACATGAAAAGGTCCGACCCGACCTGCACACAGACTGACCATACTGAGACCCATCCTTCCTGCCCTGGACAAACTCCCATTGTTCCTATTCACAGCAACCAACCACATACATTTTGAAGTTAACGTTTTGCGAGATCTCACTTTTGTCCCCAAGACTAGCTGTATGTTAATTAATTACTTTCAAGCCTAGCAGTACACTTCAAACTTGGTACCACTGGCACCTGCATTTTTCTATTTCTCATAAATGAACTCGAACTGCGCTTGAGGCTCAATCTCTATCCAGAAGAATTAGAGCCATTTGACAGAAATGTAAACAACAAAATAGCTTCAATGCACCCTGCCTACCCCCCCATGGATCAAACAACCAACAATGGACTCACTTTGTCTTTTTGGTCATTCTGTAAGGCATTGAGCCCAAGATCCTCTCCATCATTGCCAAGTGCTCCTTGTTGTCGTGTGTCTGAAAGTAGAAATTTAAAAAACTTATTTTAGAAGAGGTTTTTACCGAGCTCAACCATGTTTTTTTCTTCAGATTATCATCAAGCAGTGCAAAGCATATGACAGTCATACGGTCATATGAGCACCATGGGGTGGATGTCAACAGAGAAGTCCTTACAGGGAATCAGGCTTACTCTGCTCACCTCTCTAGTTTCAACAGCACAAAGTCTGCTTCGACTATCAAGGCACCCAGTAAACAGCGGGGTAACAAGAGTGTAACAAACATACAAAAGTAGTAGAGGAAAAATGACGATAGTTAGGATTAGGAAAGAAAAAGCAGCAGTTCCCCGTTGCAGTTCAGGCAGTTATGAGCATGACATTGGTGAATTACACCATTTACAATTATACTGTGCATGAGAACAGGTTAATGTCCCCCCTTTGGGAATGGCCTAAAACACTTCAGTCAGTAGCACCGCCCCAGGGGGTGGAAAGTAGAAATACGCAGAGTTTGTTTTGGTAAGACTTTTACAGCACTTACAATACATTTAGGTCAAATCGATTGCTTAGAGTCAGATTCCACCCTAAGCCATTTAGAAAAGCGGTGTATCATGGAGTCTTACACAGAGTGGCCAAAAATATAAATGCAGACGATTAGAAGTGTTACTCAAGTGTAATATACCAAGGGAGAGATAAAGATTTTACATTTTTTATACAAAACAATGAGCAAGTCACACCACAGCACTCGCAAACCACCTTGAAAATAAAAAAACTGTGTCTGACAAGGTGACTATACAGTCTCTGAGGCCCAGCCCGCTCACTCTAGGTCAATGACCCCAGCACTCACCTGAAACAGTGTGTAGCCTGTGTACAGCTCGAACATGATGCAGCCTATACTCCAAACATCACACGGTTGAGCCCAACCCAGTTCTGTGTGAAAAAAAAGTAAAATATCTCTATTGTAGTTCACAGAACTGAAAGAACATACCACAATGACAGTCAAGTGGAGTAAGGAGTGAGATATAATAATCATAATCATAATAATCATTATAATAATAATCACCATAATAATAGTAACAATAATAATGATAATAATAATTGCATCTATGTGCAATTAAGTGCAATTATCATTCTTAAACTTAATGACAATTTCATAAGTTATTATTAAATGCAAACATGTATGAGAAAACAATTGATTACATCACCAATAACACATAGGGGCCAAAAAAGACTCAAATTGAAATTTCACATCAAAACCTTGCTTCAGAAAAACCTCAGGCTTCAGAAAAACCTCCGGAGTAAAACAAACCCGCTTGTTGGAGTAACAAAATTAAAATAAAAAGTAAACCACCTTCTAGGCAGGCCAGCCACTCACCTAAAATAACTTCAGGGGCTCTGTAGTGGCGTGTCGAGACGATGGTGCTGTGGTGTTCGTGGTCAAAAGTGGCCGAGCCAAAGTCAATCAGCTTGATGTCTGTGTTCTTGATCCGGCGCTCATCTCGTTTCTGGAAAGAACACAAGGAAACACACCACTCCCATCAGCTAAGCACCACCACAACAAGAGATATCACGTCTTCAAAACCAAACCTTACTCTCAGGGAGAAAACCATGCACATCGTCAGAGGAAAAAAGTGCATGCCTGAGGAAATGAGTTCAGGTTTCTTTGTGGGTGCATGAGCTTGACTGTAAACAATACTACTGATTCACACTTTCCACATCCAATCATTTTATCATTCATACATGATATACAGACTGGCGGCTAGTGTGCAGAGAAAAAACAGTCTAAAATATTTTAAGCATGGTATCCATTTTTTTTTTTTTTGTTGTGCGGTTGTAAAACAGGCCAATTATCATTTTTTTAAATTCAATTTCAATTCCTCAGCAAAAATGTATCTTGTTATCAACAGTAAAAAATTTCTATATCTCTATCACATACACACACACACACCGGGGGCCCTCGTGGCCCTCGTGGCCTAGAGGTTAAGGTGTTGGCCTCTCATTCAAAAGGTCCCGGGTTCGAATCCGGGTAGCGACCGAAAAATTTTCTTCTCTAAAATTCTCTCCTTTCACCTTCTTTCCTGCTCTCTAGCAATGTTCTGTTGTCTGCTTTCATTTCCACTTTCTGCCCCCTACCCCCTTCTCTGGGCTCCCGACTCTTTCTGCAGCCTTTCTACTGCTACTCCTTGGCTCCTCCTTACTGCTGTCTTTCTGCCACACCCCTGATCTTCTGGTAGGAAAGATCTACACCTAGCCTTCTCGGACAAGGGAGAAAAATCTCGGAAGGCCCGTGTGCAAGTTGCGCACGTTAAAGATCCCTTGGTGGTCTAAACTCGATAAGAGTAGGCTTCGGCCGCCACCTGGGCAAAATTCAAAATTTCCTACCAACTGAAAATATCAGGTGTGTCCCGCACGCTCATATGACCTTATGCAGTTGCGAGCGCCGTAAAACACTTTACAAAAACAAACAAAAACACACACACCATGCACATTCCTAAAAAAATCTCTCTCATTAACCACACTGTTTACTAAACTATGGAAGGGCAAAGGGGCACTCACAGAGCTCACCTTCTTGGGGTTGAACACAGTGTCATAGTCCGAACTCACAAACAGGATGTTCTCCGGCTTCAGGTCGGTGTGGGTGAGCTGGTTCTCGTGCAAAACTGTGGACACAACCTCACTACGTTAGCCAAGTCAAAATTCCACACAATGATTGTGCTGGGTGGCAAAATACATCATCATTGAGAAACACATTGAAAAAGTTACAAATTTTTTATAAAAATGAATCACTATTCAGACACCCATAGCAAGAATTACACATTTTTCAAAATTAATCATTTACTGAGACATCCATGGCAAAAAGTATATCCTTTTAAAAATCAATCACTATTGAGACGTCCATGCAAGAATTACATGCTTTCTAAAATTAATCATAATTTAAACATCCATGGCAAAAGTAACATATTTTTTAAAATAAATAAATCACGAGACTCAACCATAGTTTCAGCCCACATCACAAATCATTTTTTTTTAAACCAACAGAATAGCAAATGTACATTATATACTCACAGTTGACTGCGTAGCAGAGCTGATATGATATATGTCGAACTTGCTCTAGCGTGTACGGAACGTAGTTGTTGTCTTTCTGTAGACACAGAACGAACACAGCATGTTCTACATTGTAAAAGAGCAAAAACGTTGACGCGAACAGGGTAATTCGAATTTTTAAAAACGATCTAAACTAAAATATTCTCAAAACTTGAGCACACAACACAAAATGATTAACAATCACATTTTTCTTCCTCCTCTTGTTGCCACTAACAGACAATAAAATTCTAATGATGCCCGCTTGCTGGAAAAAAAAAAGACCCTGAACTTTTTTAACATGGTGGAAACAAGTGCACGAGACTCAAAATTTATAGATCATATTGTGTAATACACTTTGGATTGATATTTGACTATTTCAACAATAAGTGTTAGATGTTTTGGCAAGTGTTTTATGACACTTGCAACACAATACGGTCAAATAAGTGCCTAAGATTAGATGTAACCCCCCAAAATAATCTTTTTAAACATTTGCCAAGACAGTTAAAGTATGCCCTTCGTTCACAGAAAGAAGCTAGAAAATGAACAAAGGAATGAAGTAACCAGGTAATTCACAAGACAACACGTTTCTGTCACATATGACATGATATGAAAAGACACAGGTTATTTCCGTTCTGAGGACCCAACGACAAACTCACCAGGAAGTCGAACACACTGAGACCAAGCATGTCGAAGGCAATGCACATGTGTCCATGGTAATCAAACCAGTCCAGCATTTGAACACATAGGCTGAAAATGGTAGGGCAAAAATTATTATTTTCAAACAATGTTTTTTTTCTTCAGATAATGATTATCATCAAGCAGTGCATAGCATATACAAAGACATAATATATAGATAATATATATATATATGCTGTAAACAAGAATGCCTTTACAAATTATACATATTTTGCAAAGAGAAGGAAATGATAAACAATTCTTTGCACCAACACATCACATACTTTGCCTGGAACGGACAAGGCCAATAACAACACTAAATATACACAGTACCAGAGCGCTCTCCAGCTGCTTATTTGATGGGTTGAAGCAGCCTGCTTCTTTAATGATCAGAACTGAGCCAATGATGGACCGTAACCAATTATTGACTAAGAAAAAAAAAAAGATAAGTCACCCGACTGTAAAAAGTGAGCAACTCCCAAGGTTCTTGCATTGCACACAGAACACAATAAAGTTTTCGTTTTCCTAAGAGTTTTATAGCACTTGCAACACAATAAGGTCATATGAGTGCCAAAGAATAGAAGTGTTACAAGAGAGTAACATACACAAAAAAAGAAGGAAGAGAGATAAGGACGATAAGATGTTTGACTGGAAAGAAGGAGCAAACCACAACAGAGCACCCACCAACCACCCACTCACTAAAGTTTCTCACGCATAAAACCTTTTTTAGTTTTAGTAAGAGTTTTACGGCACTTGCAACACAATAAGGTCATATAAGTGCCGAGGATTAGAGGCGTTACAAGAGAATAACAAACATAAACAAGGAGGAGAGATCAGGGCGATAGACGTCTGATAGGCAAGACGGAGCAAACCACACCAGAGCACCCGCCAACCACCCACACACATAAAGCCTGTACCCCACAGAGAAGCAGCCTTCACTTACTGTTTGCCCACCGGATCCTTGTCCCGCAGTTTTTCCAGGACGTTGATCTCCAGCTTGGCTGCTTCCCGGTACTTCTCAACATTCTTGATGATCTTCAGGGCCAGACGGTCGGTCCCTCTGTGATTAAAAAAAAACACATGACAGAAAACAAATGAGTTAAGTTTAGTTTTAGTGAGAGTTTTGCGGTACTTGCAACACAATAAGGTCACATACGTGCTAAATATTAGACGTGTTACGAGAGAGAAAAAGCACAAAAAAAAGAGGAGAGATAAGGAGAGGATGGATGCTGGATAGGATAGGAGCAAACCCCACCAGAGCAACCACAAACCACCCACGAAAACAAACGAGACTTTGAAATTAATCAGCAGAGTTTTATCGTAGACAACAGTCAGCCCTGTTTAAAAGTGGGTAAATTTACACCAGAAACAAATTAGAATGACAAAGCGAGGACGAAGTAGACCCGCAGATATCATTAGAGCAGCCACCAACCACCCACATCATCACAATAACTCAGTCCCTTGTCAGAAGTTTTGTTTGTTTGTGTGTGTGTGTGGGGGGGGGGAACAAAGAAGGAGAGAACATCCATGTGTGTAGCGTGCCTGGGAGCAAGACATATCATGTCCAACACTTAAAAGTGTAACTGCCGAATTAGGTAGAACAGTCTTGTCTCAGTTTTAGTAAGTTTTACGGCACTTGCGACACAATAAGGTCATATAAGAGCCGAAGAATAGATTATGTGTTACAAGAGAGTAACAAACAAAAAAAGAAGGAAGGGAGATAAGGACGACAGATGTTTGATAGGAAAGAAGGAGCAAACCACACCGGAGCACCTACCAATCACCCACAGTTTTGTCTCATATCTAGTGATTCACAACAGAGACTACACTTGGCCATACCATGATACAATTTTTTTAAATCTATTTTCTTGAGTTTTGTTTTAGTAAAGGTTTTATGGCGCTCACAACTGCAGAAGGTCATATGAGCGCCAGACGACTGAGGTGTTACAAGAGAGTAACAAACCTAAAAAAGAAGGAGGGGAGATAAGGACGAAAGATGTTTGATATGAAAGAAGAAGCAAACCACATCAGAGCACCCGCCAACCACCCACATTTTTTAAAAGGTACTTTGGGCACTTCTGGTAGGTGATAAAAAAATCTTTTTCCGCCCAACTCCGCAAAAAATCAATGCTCCCACATACACAATTCAAGTCAGATGTCATTGAATCATATGTGTTTCAAGTTTAAGAGTTTTACGGCACTATTATCGAAATAAATACGTCAAAAAAGTTAAGCCCCGGAGATTAAAGGTGTTTCTAGAGAGTAACATTTTGGAGATGTATTACCCATTCTTTCAACTGGGACGTTGTATCCCTCTAACCCAGGTTGTCCCTGACAGGTAGATTCAAACCCTGTCTTTTAAAATGATCTAATTTGTGTTGTTGAGAGTGTAAAAACACCAACATTTAGCAATTACAATTTTTTAATAGCTACTGCATGTCATTTCAGGCCATTTTATTGTCGCCTCCACCTCACCTTTTAGTTTTAGTAAAAGTTATATGAAACTTGGAACACAATAAGGTCATATTAGTGCCAAAGATTAGAGGTGTTACAAGAGAGTAACAAACACTGGAAGAAGGACGAGAGACAAGGACGATAGATGCTTGATAGGAAAGAAGAAGCAAACCACACCTGAGCACCCGCCAACCACCCACTCCATCTCACCAAATCTAAACCAGAAGAAGGAGAAACCAAAAAAAAAATTTTCCTTCATCGAGAGAGGATTCAGAGGGAAATGCAGCCAGTCAACATGCTGTTGCATATTTCCTTTTTTTTTAATGAGGAGGAGAGGGAAGGAGAAAAAGAGAGAGAGAAAGAGAGAGAGAGAGAGAGAGAGAGAGAGAGAGAGAGAGAGAGAGAGAGAAAGAGAGAAAAAAGGGTGGAACGAGGGAGACAGGATAGAGAGAGGAGATGGGAATTTGCCAGGGGAGGAGGGAGTAGAAAAGGAATGACAGAACAACA